CCTGGCCGTTGTGCGGGGCGTGACCGCGCCAGCAAGCACGGGACAGCTTCTGTCACTGGCTATTAAAAACAAACCCTTCCCTTTGTCTGTCTGCGATGTCTGATTAAATTGCTGCGGGGAACCTGGCGGTTCATTTCCCATCCCTGACCAAGGAAGGCGTTACTGGTGTCTTGCACCGTGCGTGTAGTTGCGTTGTGTGAGCGTGCGGGTGTCCTGCTCTCGGACAAGAGCTGATTGACCAGGTGCTGATAATAGCAGGAGGCATTTTCTCTCCAGGCTGCTGAAACATCATTCCTTCCTTCTGGGAAGGAATTCCTTCCTTCTGGGAACAAGAGAGGACGAGTCTTACCTCCCTGGGAGAGTCTGGAGTTCCCCAGCTGTGGAGAGCAGGCCACCGCAAGCCGAACGGCGTACCCCAGAGAGCACTGCTGCCGCTCGCCCCGAGCGGCAACTGCAGCCAAAAAGGGAACGCTTCGATGGATTTACCCCCGGCCCAAATGAAGTGTTCCACTAAACCAGGAGTGAGACCTCCAACGGGCAAAACCAAGTCTGTACCCCAGACTTCCTCTCTGAGGAGAGAACTGTAGCTTATATTGAACGCCACAATTATTCCAGACTTTCCCGAGCCTTAGAGTGACTCTTTTTTTTTGGAGTAAATCAAGACACAGTTAGTAGGTACACTTAACGCCTGTCCTTAGCAGTGCAGCTGCTTGAAGTTGCAAGATAACTGTTTAAATTTGAAATGTATCTCAAAAATAGTTATTTTCGGAGAGAGATTCCTACAAGAACAGTGTCTTGCGGTTCATCAAATTAAACGGATACAAGTGACACAGACAGTTGTGTGCAATTGTTTAAAGTAGAAACTGCTAAATTCTAAATGTCTTTGGAAATAACCTGTTTTCTCTGACACCCAAGTGCTGGAGTCTTTGAGAAAACAATTCTTCTGTGCGACAGTTCTGTGTCTGGGGACTGTAGCCCTCCCAAGAGGTACTGGGGGCAGGGGGTTTCCATGAGGTTTTCCAAATACAAAATACTGCAAAGCTTAAGCATTAGAGAATTAAATCGCAATTAAAATGTTCACTTTTGGAGAAAGAAAGCATGTTTACTGTGTAAACATCCCACCTGTAATGGAGACTGACAGGCGAGTCCTTGAACTGTTGTTAAAAAATAGGTATTTTCAGGGCTGGATAGGGCTGCCATGGCGGGGAGGGGATGCTGCACTGGCTTCCGCTTCGTGGTGCCGCAGCCCCAAATAACCGCAAACAGCGGTTTGCACTTTGGCACAGAAGGTTCAGGAATCGCACCCGTAGTGGGGGCGAGGGAAGGCGCAGCGGTTCTGATTCATTAAGCCCGACCTGCATTTTTCACCTATTTTTCAGCTCGTCGGAACAATGGTTATACGCAAGTGGCTGTTTCCTGCCTTCAGCTCTGGGTGCGGCTGCTGTCGGCAGGGGTGGCGCTTGGCCCCTTCCTTTCGGAGGTGTCCCTCTCTTAGGCCCCAGCTCCCGCTGTCCAGAAGGGACGACCGTTTGCAGTTGGGTGGAAGGGGGTGGGGGGCAGGCGAACGCGAGGCTGGAGAGCAGGAGATCCCGTACCCTTTGATGCTAATACCAGCTTGGTCTTGAAGCAGTCGCTTGCCTTACCTTCCCTACGTGAAGGCAGATTATAGTAGGGGACTCCTCACTTCCGAGGGCAAAGCGAGGACTGACATAACCCATGAATCAAGCGCCTCAGTCTGGTCGCGTTCTGTGACGCCACCCCAGCTTCTCTAACCTCAGGCTGTTTCCTCTTAATCTCACACGGCAATAAAAAAAGCATTACAACCTTTTAAGATGGAGTCATAGTCAAAAGCCGTGTCGCTGCAGGGACACACCCTCCACGTTCTCACTGAGGCATGAGGAAACTGGATTGCCTACTCCGACTGCCAGAGACCATTCAACGCCACCACCAAACGCCCTCAAAGGGACCGAGCCATCACGGGACAAGGCGGAAGGGTCTGCGGTGGACTTCTTAAAAATCAAAATGACCAAGGAAGATAAATCACTTCTATTGATTTTATTTTAGAAACATCCAAAAATAGGGTGTGGTTTTTTTTTTTCTAACAAAAGCTCTTGTTGACAATACTAATACGGATCTTCATGTAACAGTGCTCAAGAATGTTTTCTAAAATACACATTCACCCTTGGAAAAGGAGTTTCAAAGCAGTAAAATTCTGGTCTGCTGTACCTCGGTTTAGATGCAGCACTGTTACAGATAGATAGATACCTGTTGCTGGTGTGTGTTTCCCTCCAGGCAACTAATTCTCTAGGACCCTCAAAGAGAAACCATGCAAGCTAGAAGCTACTTACCTAGTTTAAGCTGGTTTTTTTGTTTCTAGGAAGAAAATAGAGAAAGTGTTCCAGAAACGGTGTTTTGCTGATATTTCACAGTGAAAAAAGAAAGCTAACGGAGCAACCATGAGAAATTCTGCAGCCATTCCCGGAGGTAGTTAGGGCAATGTTAAGATTTTGGTTTCTGTACTGACTTATTTTGAACTTAAAAGATGTCAGGAAACACTGCTTGTACTTTTTGGAGGTTTTGATCTTAAAGCTGTTCACCTTTACAAAACTGAAAGACCTTGACTTTGGACCGAAGCGTATGTCTCACTGTGGAGAGCAGGAAACATGAGTTTGATACCAAGAGGCTATGGGGGGGATGGTTAAGTATGGCACTAAAATATAGCGGGGCTCGCTACACAGTTCATGCTAAACCAGGTTGTGCTTAGCTTGGGAGAGTGATGAAGTGAGATTGCAATCAGGTGATGAGTCTGATGTAAAATTAGGCTATGCAGGTACACCAGAATCCTTCCAAGGAAGGCCCTGCTCGGAACAAAGCTTCCCGTCGCTGAACTGCTGTCCGTCATACCGGACAGTCTGGATTTCCTTCTGAAAAAGAATTTCTCTCTACTAAAGATCACTGTGAGCACGTGGCACTGTCAGTATCTGGACTGTCTTTGAGCATCTTCTCAAGGTGCATACTAGTTTACAGATCGCACAGCAAGCTACACACACAGCTAAGCCTCTACTCGTGGGCTTTCCCGAGACATTCAGGGAAGCCTCTGACCACATACTGTGTGTTTGTCTACACGTAGCAGCGCAGACAAGTTTGGTTTGTGATGGAAGGAGGAGAACGGGCTTAACAGATCAATCGTACACATGCAAACCAGCCTGGAAGGGATTCAAATATAAGGTACGAACAAGCAGCCTTTGAGAGGGAGGCTGTCCTACTTTGCACTAGTACATTAAGGGAAAACTAAATAAACGTGCCTGTGCTTGACCACACGCCTCAAAGCAAAGGCTCTCCTCAGTGCTGAAAACAAAACACCAGTAATTCCATTGGTACCGGCCTTAAAAGACTCACAGGCTCAACAATAAAACTGGAAAAGCCCAACAGAAATTAGAGAGGGCATAAGCTCAGATGTCACGCTCAGTACAGGAGTTTTGCTACCACTCTGCCTTGGGACTGGTCAATGCAAACTTTCAGCGGTTCTTTCAGACGGAGATCTAGTACTTGGCGTCTCCGAGGGGGTCACCAGGCTCATCTCCCACTTCCAGACATGGAGGATATTGTCATAGAAAGAACAAGTGGCTACAATGCTCATCTCTTTTGGACTGTCTAGAGACCTGGTTGAATCACCGCTTCTGTCCAGGCCCACTCCGTTGGGTCTCTTAGCCCCCGAGTCAGAACCGCTGGCTGACTCGGGATCTCCCCCTCGGTCAGGACCCCCAGCCAAATCTGAACTCCCCTTTAAATCGGAGCCCCTAACCAGGTCAGGATCCCCAGACAGCTTAGGGCCCCCTTCTGCTTTGAGTGGCAAGGCAGGACCTTCACTCTCCTCATCCAGTATTACATCAAAAGTAGCTGTAGGAGACTCATAAATTATCTTCAGGTTTTGGACCTGCAAATTCAGTCTCTCATCTCCTTCCTCTGATCTTCCCACAAGCTCCTCCGAAGACTGGCACGCAGCAGCGGAGTCCTGTGTTGCAGTCCAGGTATCCCTTGGGCAGAGCCTCGACCAGTCAGCCCCGTAGGCCAAGGAATTGTGCAAGACATAGGATGACAGGATGATACATTCCTCCATGTTTTCCGCTTAAAAAAAAAAGTGAAAATATGAAATGAGCAGAAATCCAGTTGTGAAAGGGTTTGTTGCAGACTGCTCACAAGCCATTCTAGCACTGGCTATGTCCTACAGGAAGAGTTCTCTGGTTATTGCCTTATTCACAACAGAGTTAAGCGTTCTAGGAGAAATGAGGTTCTGGCTCTCCTGACAATTTTTCGGCCACCTCTCATTAGCCTTGATTTTCCCTGGTTCAGTAAGCAGATAGGAGAAGATTTAACGTGCATTAATGTGCATCATTATGCAAAATACCAAAAAAGGCTTAAGAAAGACAAGACGGATCACACAGCGATCCCCACTGAGCCATGAATACAACTGGTAAGATTGCCAGACCGGGTTCTGGTTATTAATAAATTGCAGATGTGTTCTTCCCACGAGCTTTCAGCATTTGACTCTGATATCAAACGGACATCCAGTTCCTCCCTTCCCTATACAGCAGAAGTGTTATCCTCATTTCGCAAGCTGTGAGTCTGCCCGAGGCCTGGAGAAGCCTAGGGAGGCAACTGTTTTATGCAAGATTGTATTTGTAATGTAAATGCAAACAGCTTTTAATCATGTAAATACCTTCTGATTCACATGGAGAGCTTATTCACGTTATTCTAGATTAACCAGACTGCACAGCACTTCCTTTCTGAGGCAATAACCAATTCACCAGCAGATCAGTGACTTCTGCTGACAGGAAAGCATCACCTGACATTCAGAAGAACCTCTTTGAACCATCAAGATGAATACAAACCGGAACGGTTGTGTCAACGGGTAATGCCTTTACGCCGAGACAAA